ATATATATATATAAATCGATGTAGATTGCCGGTATCTCGGCCTTATTAGTTCAGATACGAGGAGTCTAAAAAGGGACAGTAATTGATACCGGAACTGGAATGTCAATCGTGAGCAAACATGACTGCTTGCCAGGTAGATCGTGAAGCACGGATGCAAGAGGGAGAAAAGGGTGGATGGGAACGGGTGTCGAAAAAACAGTGTCATTATTCATGTTAGTTTCACCATTCGAATTCGTAAACCAGAAACTTCAGGGATAGATATGCGGCAACTGGGAGCACGAATCAATCTGACAAATGATTGGTCGTAAACGGCAGCCAACGTTCGAACTTAACAAGAGAAGGTACAGCTAAACTGAGTAGATACGGGTCCAGCGATGGAGGTCCCGAATTGACCGGTAGCATGTGTACAACAATACTTAGATAACTTATTAGTGCACAGGTGATGGTAGCCATAATACAAATCAGAAGGTGTATGCACTAATAAGAGTTTTAACTGTGGTTGACAATAGTTTACAGAAGTGATTTGCAACACAAAATAAAGGCAATATGAAATGTGGAGTAAGTTAACGGGGAACTTATCGTATGTGAGAGTCCCTAGGTGAAAGTCCGTAGTTTGGCTGCTACACGTATTCCGTAATTGTCCGTGGACTTGGAGTGTTTGGCTGACTCCTTGCTCCCTGCGCGCGCTCGAGTCTGTGTGTGCTGAATCTGTTCGGTTTCCCCATATGTAGGTCCGTTTGCGCGTATGTGGGCGCGTCAGCAAAGAGTTGTTACTACGCTCACTAGACGGTGCAGACAATCGACGTCTGATGAGTCACCCTATGTGACGTAGTTTGTGGATATGAAAAAAGATCCAGTGACCGACTGTTGGCTGAACCGTGAAGTATATGAGTGACTGGGTCGCTACAAACTAAGCACATCTGCTTTCTACACAGTCCAACAGCTACGGTTTTGTGACAAAGTGGGGCACATCACTGGTCTCCACGCAAGATGTTTTTCGGCCAGTCGCCAGGAGAATATAGCAAAAGCTGCTACGTCAAGCAGGGAAACAGTTGAAAGAAACGGTAGCAAAAGAAATCGTACAGAGACCGCAAATCCCACTCGTGCTGTCACTCTTCCTAATCTGGAAGGCTGGCGGTACGCGCAGGTTCTGCGTCGACTTCTGAGGACTAGACAGAATTGCGATCAAGGACGTGTCTCCAGTACTTTTAATTGAAGGTCTATTTACCGAGCTGTACAATTTTCCAGGTGCCTAGCTGGCTAACCTGCGTTCTGGACACTGATAGCTACCAATGACCAAGCGCGATAGACAAAACGGCATTCCGTGTTGGCGGACAGCAGTGTAAAGTTCTAACGGTTTTCGGTCGTCGCAACGCCTGAGCTGGCAAAAATGAAGCAGCTCCACGATGTTTCTTTGATGATGATAGCATGGTCCCCACTATAACAACTCAGGTTGTACCCCCAAAAAGGGCCTCGTTATTTCATTGCTGAGGGGCGTTTGAACTAATTACACGAAATTACGTTGGTTACTTATGCAAGCAATACCAATGATAACCTCATCAAGCTAACTAGGTCCCATTTTTATCCCGCGCACACATGGTGTTCTTGTCGATTTTTTCTTCCATTCCCGAGCTTCTCTCACAAATTGCATCTTAAAAATCTCCCTTTCAGAATGCACGAAACGGTTTTAAAAGTAGAGCTGTTTCTTAACCGTGTTGCGCCTGAATGGTAAATCTGAGTTTAGTTCATCAAGAAGGCGTACTTCCCCAGATTGCAATGTATAATTAAAGAAATTCAGATGACTTTCTCATCTATTTATCAAATTTATGTCTTCACGTTCACTAACTGTGGTGGTGCTCCGATCAGTGAAGCGCGCAGAAAACAAACCAGGGGTATGAGTTACAACGTTCTGTGTAATGTATCTGAGCTCACGCTCTACCTTCCGGTGATTGTTTTCGGTAAAAAATCTTCACTTCGGGTTCTGTGTGCGTGTAAACATGTATTAGATGGGCTCTCCAACAACTTTCGTTAATGCGTCAACTCTCGATAGAAATCAGTGGCTCCTACCGTAACGATGACTTTGCTAACATTATTTTAAATGGACTGGAACAAAAAAGACGGATTTTGTCGAGTTGGTTTTCTCAAATCAGTGGCATACAAAAGAAAACGTCAAGTTAATGCGTGAAACTGGAAGAATGTGGATGCTCTGATCAGTAAGCCACTCCAGTCATATTTTCTGATGACACATCTCAAAGACTCTTGTGCGAACAAACAGGGCTACCGTAAACGCTAACAGTTTTTGAGTATTACTGCGCAATGAAATTTGAAGAATTTTAGGAACAACTGAGTAGCCAATAGCGTGGAAATAATCTATAAAATGCGTCCTTAGATCTCTCATGATGTCTCTCAATCACCCGGATACGTAAAATTTTGGAATTCGGTACGTCGAGTTTTGAACCCGAATAAAAGTACTTATCCACTACATCAAAAGGTTCATCCGCAAACGTGAAGTTTGTTTGATCCCACCTGGTCTCGCAGCAAGGCTTCGAAGTTTTGGGTATCTGAA